GACAAGCGCCTGTTTCAACTCTTGCCATCAGGGTTCCCACATGCATTTGCCTCGCATCCGGCTTGGCGGTCTGTCTGTTGTTGTATACATGTGCGGATCGTCAGACAGGATCGGAGTGTTGACCTTCTTCTCAGGAGGATAATAACACTCGTACGGCACGTGCAGAGCGGATCTGGTCCTGCTGTGGAAAAGGTGCCTGAGGCAGCTGCAGTGTTTTTGCTGCAGCACGGGGCCTAGTGATGTCAGAAGTCTCCTGCTTTTGCAGGACGGCGAGGTGGCCAGACAGCTCCATTTGAGCCTGCCAGTGTCGCGACCTCAGCCTGCAGCAATACCCGCGGGTCCGACAGAGAGAGAGAGAGAGCGAGCACCGTTTGTCTTACATCTTAAGAGTTGATGCCGTCGGAGCAGGCCATGTCTGAAGAAAGTACTTGCAGATATTTGCAGCTGTTGCCATTATTCTGTGCTTGAGGGCTGCAACCTGAATATAACTGCCATCCTCCCTAGTTTTTTGTTCTCCTCTAACAGCCCGAACAGTCGGGTGGGCCTGTTGCTCGAGCGTGTGCAGTCGTCAAACTGGGGAAGCTTAGTGGTCACTTTGTGCATCTGAACGCAATGCCCCAGCGACCATTTTTTTTTAATCAGTGCATGTTTCAGACAGGTTCGCCCCTTCTGGCGGTTTCTGCAGCTTCGGGAACACTTGTATCGTACACTTTAGGATACGTATTATTCCGCGTTCTGTGTCCTGTGCTGGCTCAAAGCAGACGACGTGCGGCTAGTTGGCGCTGCCGCGGGGCGCCTTCGGCCCGGCACGTGGCGGTCGTGGGAGCTTCTTGGCACGTCCGTGCTCAAGGACGGGCAGCCTCGACAACAGCAGCATGCACTGCATGGCCGTAGCTGCATCGTTCAAGAGGCCGTCGCACTGTGAAAGCCCTTGTTTCAAGAGCGAGCGGAGGAGTCAAAGATGGACCGTCGCGAGGCGCGGAAACGGTGCTTGCGGTGCAGGTTGGAGTTTTTTCCGCTATGCAGACGAAAACGCCAGGGCCACGGAAGCCGCAGAGGCCAGCAGTGGCAGCTTCACTCCAGCTTCAAGTCTGCACACTTCTGCGATGCTTACGCCCGGTGTAGGTAGGCCGACTGAGCCATACAACCGTCGCGAGCTCGGTCTGCAGCACCAACTGTAGCAGTGCAGCCGTTTTTCGAAGACAGAACTTGCGCGTTGTGCTGGAATGGCCGAACACAGCGTCCATGTTTCTGAAAGTACTATGTTGTGCGCGAGGATACGGCATCAAGCTCAACATCGTTCAGAAATCTGTGCCAGGTGCCTCCCAAAAGCTCAGACACTAGGGGGAGGGAGTCTCATTCGCTTCTCTCTGTGCGCTTGTCCACAGCAGTGCGGGCGGCCAGTTGTGGAGATGGCGACGGACTCCATCTTTCACCCGAATGCGTCGTGGCTGTTGCAGGACCGCTGGTGCCCGGGCGTGTGACTACCTTCTCGGAATGTTGTGACTGCCGGACATCTTGTTTTACTGCACCTTGTCAGTTCCCAGATGTAGCCAGGAAATGCCAGCCGAGTGCTGAAGACATGTGCCTTTCGATCAGGCTGCTTCCGGCAGTAGCAGCAAGGCCGATGGACTCTACGAGTACTACCAGGACAGATGGCTTGTGCCTCTGCATCTTGAGGGTGGACATGTGTAGGTACTGCACCGAGACAGTCAACATCGACAAGACACGAACTCTCGAATGTCTCGCACAACTGTCGATGTATCTGGTTGCCGCACGTTCCTCCATGGCAACTATGATGACAGCAAGGTCAACGGGATTCAGAGGGTGCTTGCCCTCGAAGACAAAGTGGACAGGAACGGGGAAGGTAAAATGTCATCTTTTCACAGGAAGCCATGCACCGCACGCACAGCCGGAACATCAAGAGGGACAGCTGTCACTGTCAACAGTACTGCAATCTCATGCCACATGGCACGTAAGCGCTTCATATCGAGTCCGATGTTGTGACAACACTGAACAAACTTGACAGATATCACCAACAAACGAATGCAGGCTGCACAACAGGAGCGACCCAAAGTGTGTGAATGTGCGTCTGAGAGTCAGAACCCATTATCAGCTTGCGCCTGTCCGGGCAGTGTGAGGGTGTGGTGCTTGTGACTGGAGCTCTGTGCAATGCTTTCAGGAACATCAGCCTTACAGTATCTTACATCTTGCGCTCACCACGGCTTGAACTGTTGATGAAGACCGCAGGACAAAGTCGGTGAAGTTCCTTTCTCGGCATACCATACTCTGCTCCCCCTACTTGTAGCCACAGCACAAGCGAGAGTAGTTCAGCTCCCTCCAGCGCTTCGCAGTGCAGTGTCTGAAGCGGTTATCCGATGTCCAGCGCTGCCATCGGAAGAAGTGCCATGTTCACGAATGTCGAATCTAGTCATGTGTTGTTAGAATCCTACTGTTATACGGTATTTTCGCACCACGTTAATTTGAAGCAATACGTGATGTGCAACTGTGTCATTGCACTCACAGGGTGTTTGTGTATGTCGCAGGACAGAGAGGTGGCTTCGGCATGTTCCAGGGAGCTCCGTCTCTCCAAGGATGAGATGAGCATTTGCCGATTGAAGCTTGCCTTAACAGTGAAGCTGGACGTGAATCTTCTATTCTTGCAAGTTGTCCAACAAATCCAAGACGCTTGATGACGTATCCTGCACGCCTCTCCCAAGCCTGCAGTCTCAACACAACTAACATCATTGCAACTGTCGTTGCGACGATGCCAGTTGCCATGCTGTAGCTGCTTGTCTTCGTTCCTTTGGCAGAGCGGAGCCGAGGAAGGCCCGCCCAGACATCCTGGTCGTGCGGCCCCCGGCTTTATGCAAAAAAAATGGCAGGGAGAGCCTTTACTCTCGTTTGCTGTTTGTTGGTGGATAAGGGGCAGGGGGGTCTGGGGGTTTTGGGCTTTTGGGTTAATGATTAATGTGAATTGTTGAAAGCCTTGGCGGCTAGGGGAACTGAGCTTCGCTCAAGATTTTAGGGGGTGCTGAAGGTCGGAACCAATGGCAAGCGCTCAGAGTCTCGGCGGCAGATGTGCATGGTCCAACGACCGAAGTGTCGGGTTATCCCATGGAAGGGCGTTGCCTCTGCTTGTTGGATCTTGTTGGTGTCATTCGGGTGCTGCGACACTTCTGGGCAGCTGATGAACTGTCAGTGTTGCTGGGGAATTTTCGAACATGCCAGCTGCGCCAGCAGAGTAGATGCAGCATTGTAGCACCGCAGCAGCAACTCCAGCCCTTCGGCTACAATGTCTGAGACTTTCCTGTCGCGGGCAGGTGATGATGGCCTTGTCGATCTTGCTTGCGTTGCGAGACAAGGCTCGCTTGGGTTTTTGCTATGTCTTGTGCCATTGCTGGTTTGCTGAAGATACTGCAGGTTTTTGTTCTGAATGCCTTCTGGCTAACTAGAGCCATGTAGCAAAGTAGAGCCCGTTTAATGTTTCAGATGCGCTTGTGTCTCCCCGCTCAGCAAGCGGCCCACAACCTGGAGTGCGACATCAAGGCCGGAGCGGCCTGGGCGGCCAGGGATCCTGGGCCTCCGACAGCTTTTACGTCCTGAGGACCTGGATGAGAGCTTGTCAGAACCGCTGGCGGATGCACGGAGCTTAGAAGCAACTGTGTTGCCGTGGCACCGCAGAGGGAAGAGGTAACGACGGGGGATACCGGGATGCTTCCTGTCGGCATGCGACTTTTGTCGTCAGTCGCCTCGAGCTGACATGTCTCGATAGTGAAGTGCGGACTCCGAGTGATGTTGCTCTGTGCAGGTTCTTCAGGGAGCTTACGAAAGATGTGAGGCACGCTCAGTTCAATTGCTTCACGGGTCAATGCTCAACAACGACTGTACCTGCATCTCAGAGTAGGTTGCCGTACATAAGAAGGACCCTTTTGGTTGCCCTGGAGGACGAGGCAATCTCCAGGAATGCCCGTGGCGAGAGCGAAGGAGGCGTGGTAGTCTTGGTCGATCACTAACTGATGATGTGCTGGAGTGCACACAGTTTGGTCAGGGGAATTCTCAAGAGTTCGAGGGCCCCCCCCGCCGCTGCAAGAATCCCCAACTCCAAACCGTTGCCGCCAGGCAGAGGCGACGACCGGCCGGTGGCAACCCAAGGGAATGGAGATTCAGTCGGCAGGGTGCGCAGCATACGATGCCGAAACCTCTACCTTCGCAGGCCAGCAAGCGCAAGGCCCATGAGGCCGGCTGGTCTGGGCAGGATCCATGCAGGGCTTGCTTCTCTGATCCGTTACGTCTGGTGCTGCAGGGATACGCCGATGCATCCTCTCCAAGTCGGAGGACGGGAGAAGAGATGCCACCCGAAAAACTGCACTTGTCGACTCCCTGAACCCAAAAAGGCCACGGAAACCGTTGCCAGATCAGCCGGCTTCCTTGCGACCTGCGAGGAGAGTACGAGCCGACCTTGACAGCCAGGCCAGGAAGGCTGGTGCGTTTTTCTTTGTAACATGGCTTAAACCGCAGTATCAGTGACATGGGTAATGTGCAGACTGTCGACCTGAATTAAGCATAATGTCCCAGCAGGGATGTTGGCAGCATGTTCGCTGCGAAGCCCTTTAAAAATTACGGTACTTGGGACCCCACACCACCAGTACGTCGCAGGCGACTTCACGGTCGCAATCCAGACAGAGGCACGTCGTGTCTGACGACGGCTTTGAGGCGAGCTCGCCATGTCAGAAGTCCTGGAACCTGGGAGAAGTCACTTGGGCCGGTTGCACCGCATCCTGTGAGGGCTGGGGAAATGGCAGAGGCAGCCAGGCCTGGCGGTTGAGTAAGGAAGAAGGAAGACACTAAAACACCAGGTCACCAGTGATGGTGAGTGATGGCTTGCGCAATGCTTGTTGATCGCAAAAGATGTAGTGAGTAAGTGCAGCGCGCTGAGCCCTGAGGACTCGAAAGACTGGTCCGACTGGGGCTGGCAGGACTGGAGCAGCATGGGCTGGGACTATAACTACAGAGGTGGTGGTGGCGGCCGTTACGACGACAGCTACGACTACGGCAAGCCGAAGAAGCCAGGTGCGCACCATCTTCCTCTTTCCCTCTTCTTCGAGTAACGATCCTTCTTCCTGGCCGGGTTGCAGACCCGGTCTCGCTCTCCTGTGACAGGCGGTGTCTACGAAGGCGGCGCCCTCACTGCGCTCGCCGGTGTTGCTGTGCTCTGGACCGTGACGCCAAGTCCACGTGGCTAGTGCAGTTGTTGAGCATGAATGCCTGTCTTCTCACCATGGACGATGACCCGTCCAGCCACCGCTGGATTCAATCATCTTCGCCTGTGAGGTCACGGTGTCAAGATGAACATCGTCAACAGTAATGTTCCAGGCCAGCTGAGTAAGTGTCAGCGCGTTTGCCGCATCTCTCTGCAGGAGAGCTCAAGACTAGACTTGTCATAGTTGTGACGGGATTTTCTTATTCCACTTCGACTTCACGCTCGGCATCCTTGACAGTGCAACGGTAATGCTCTGTTGTCAAGTTGAGAGTCCACGGCTCCTGTTCCCTGAACCCAAAGCCCCACAAACGCTGTAAGCCGCTGCAAGCATCCCTGAATCGGCAGTTGTTGAGCTGGCGACCCACTCGATCTTCCATGGCAACGCCTCGTGGCTCTTGCAGGCACTTTGCCGCCCCAGCCGAACTTTCATGCTTCGGAGCGATGCCGATGACGATGAACCGTGACGATATGTGACGATCATGCTGCCTGCTGATGCTGGATCTGATGGCGTCGATTGTAATGAGGAGAGGACACTGACAAAACGCGGTGATGAATAGGAAACATTAGTGTTACATGCCGCCACACACAGAGTATTGGCAAAGGCAAAGGCATGCAGTGTGTATGTGCATGTACATGTAATAGATTATAGACTATAGAGATGCATGTGCATGTGTGTGTGCATATGCGTGTACATGTCCCTCAGTCCCTGCGTTTGTTGTATTGATGTCATCACCATGCACCATCATTTGATGTGCTTCCCTGCTTTGCCTCTGGATCCCCAACCTGGAGTCCTGACGCAAGGCAGCCACCGGAAGCTGCGGCAAAGCCGATGGGCTCTACGAGTATTGCCAGGTCACCAACTTGCAGATATGTTACATTATTTTTGCCTATCTTCTGAAGAGATTGGATTTTCAAAACCTGGCATCTGGAAATGGGTTGGCTCTAGGTCGCTGAGGCCTTCGTGCAGTTCAGCCATGTAGTGAGCTGTAGAATGGTGTGCATGTTGTGAATATTGCCGTCTTCATGCTCCTTTCCTGCAGGACAAGGAGGTCACCTCCATCTGCGTCAGAGATCTCCGAATAGCTCGCGATGAGATTAGCATTTGCCGCCTGAGACTTGCTCCGCATTTTGTAGACTGTCGTGAGCCGGGAAGCATCAGAGGTCAGTCTGTTGCAATCAACGCGTTCACTGCACTGCTAACTTGAGGAAAGATCGACCAGACATAATGGCGGTGCAGCTCTCAGTGCATCTGCAAGCCCAACGTCGTCAGCATGCGCTTTTTTCTACGCCGAAATCCAGCGAACTTCAGATGTCTCCCGATGCAAAGGTGGGAACCAATGGCAAGCGCTCAGCTCCATGACTGCAGTCGGAAGGAAATTGAAAGTGCAAAGCGTGAGGGACAAGCGAAGTCCCTGCAGCTACGAGCACTCAGCAGAGAGACCTTCTCAGTGTGCATGCACAAGCAACACCTTTGATAGCCTTTGCGGGCCAGCGTCACCTAGTTCGAAGCCGTATGGTGACTGCAACTACAGACTACAGACAGGATTCTGATCGCCTGGACGGAGGTCATGTTTGCGTTGTGCATCATGCTCGCTTTGCTGGACACGGTGCGCCCGGGATGTCTGCAAATCTTGCTGCAAGCTGCTGCGAGCATTTCGTAACAAGAGTACAAGTCATGCGGGGCCGTCGTAGACCATTCTTGGAGTGTTCCCCAAAGTATGGTAAGACTACGTCTTCTTACTTTCAGGGCAAGAAGTATAAAAAGGTTGCAAATCTCAAGCGTCGAGAGTCGGCCGTTGCGCGTTCCGGCTGCGTTACAATGTTGATTTCGGAGCAAAATCGAGCTTTCGCCAAAGTCACGTGTCGCAGGCCCAAATTGCTGTGAACCGGCTTTAGGGCCAACTTTAGGGTTTGAGTTTAGGGTTTGGGTCTCGGGCTTAGGGTTTTGCGTTCAGGGCGAGGGGTTTAGGACACGGGGTTTGGGTGTAGGCTTGGTGAGGGTCTTGGGTTTACGGCTTTGGGATGAAATTAGGTGGTGAGGTTTGGGATGAGGGTGTAGGTTTTGCGGGTGTGTTTCGGAGTTTAGTTACGGCTTGAGGCTTGAGTCGAGTTTTGCAGTTTTCCGAAGTCGGAATCATGCTCGTCGCCACGTGCGGCTCGGTTTTCGTGATTTTACAGGTGTTCCCTGGTAGTATTGCCCGTTTTTGGCCTCCTCGTTTTTGGGGCGCTGCGCTCTCGCATCGCAGTCTGAGCTTATCTCAGGTCGGATGTAGGTCGCAACTCTTGAAACACCTGTGCTCTCGCTACAGTGTCGTGCATGCTTTCGGGCACGAATCGTGCTCTCGCCGGCTCTACGGTCTGCCGCGAGTCTACGCCGGCGCAGTGTGCAAAGCCTATAAGTGGCCTCGAATTAAATTCAGTCAATGTCAATCTTGCTGCTCCTACTTTGTTGGCTGTTGGGCGGCACTTGTGTTCCCTTGTTCTCGAAAGCTGATCTTCGCAGAAAGCTGCCAATGCCCTTGAGCGAGACATCCGTGCCAACACCTCAGCTTTGCATGCAGAAATCCGCATTCCAGGCTGGCACCCTAAACCTTAAACCCTCAGTCTTTGAGCTCCAAGGACACGGATGCCACCCTCTCGGAGCCGCTGGCAGAAGTGTAAACCTCAGAGGGCCAGACGGTGCATTCTGATCCGAGCATCCTTGTGTTCGCACAGTGGAGGGTGCGAAACTCTGGGATGCTCTTCAGTTCATTTATGTTCATTGTCTTGGTTCCGTCACACGTTGAGACAGGGGTTCTGCAATGTAATTCTTTGTTTGGCCTTTTACCTTCGCCGGCTCCCACAAAAGCACATTGCAATACACTTTTGGGACTTAAGCCGGGCGCCCGAACCTACAAGGTTTGCAATTCCTGCTTTGCTACGATGCATGTTGAGGCAGCAAGACAGGTCTGGAAAGGTTTCAGGGGAGGGCGTTGGACCAGGGTTTCTTCAGAGAGACTCGCCCAATCCTCAAAACAGACACGAACTTCCTTCATAGTCTCAGTGGCCCACCAAGGTGCTTGCAGAAGCCTACGAAAGAAGCGAGGCAGAAGCAAAGCCGTGCTGCTCTTTGCTTTTGCCTGGGCCTGTCTGTGCAGGATCCCAGAATACTGAATAATGCTCGGGGTGGAGGAGGACGAGGAGGCCGGTTCCCGGCGTCTTCCTGAGTCTTGTTTGCTTCTGCCTGCAGTGCTGTGGAGGATCTTGGAATGGCGGAGGTGGAGCCGTGCTCCCAACAGCTGTGCGGACTTTTGAAAGTCCATGTTCTCGCAGCCAGACGCTTGTCCAGTCTCTCTAGCTCAGGCTGGGTCATGGAACAATTCCTACAAGGCAATTGGGGCGCTGCCTTTGTGTTCCTGCCGAAAATCCAGTACTTCAGCCGACAGGCAACGTATCGGGAAGCGTCCCCGACACCTCCCCCCCGAAGGCTGGATGCTCAGTACAGGGCTGTGGTTTTACACAGGAAGGTCTACTTCGAGATCTGTTTCGGATGATCCTACAGAGGCTCTTGCGAAGTGTTCGCTCCTTGTAGCGTGTTCAAAAGGCGGGCGGAACTCCGCTTTATTTTACTGTAGGTGGCTGGGTGAATTTATCTCGGCTCCCAAGAATTCGGACTCGATCCATATCAATTTCAGTCATGACGTCACTGCGGCCGTCTCTACCTCATGCGTTATTTCATCCACAGTGCAGCCCCGAAGCCCCGGCAGAAGCAAGGCCGCGCGGTGGTCGCGGGCGCAAGGCACGGGACCCCGCCAAAGACAGATCTTACCATCAGAGGATCATCACCTACTCTCGAGCGCTCCATCGTTTTAGTCCTAAGCTAGCAGATGAGTTTCATGATATTCACCGGGCAAGCCAGCAAGCTGCCCTCCGTTTTGGACTTTGGGCAAATGCCGGGAGGCTCGCGGTGCGAGCCTCAGGAGGCAGGTGGTGCCAGATGTCGACGATCTGGACCAGCAGCTGGAGGCTCTCAATCACAAGCTTGCAATTCTGCTTTCTTTGGCATGCCCCGAGAACTGTGGAGGCCTTCATGGCACCCGACCCGTCGCGCGGACGGGACTAACGACCTGAGCTTTCAATGCCGGCCAGCAGAGTGCAAGGCAGGCGTCATCTGGAAGCGTCGTTGGGGCTTTCTGATGTAATGTCAACTTCATGAAAGTACCCCCCCCCCCCGGATTGATTTGACTATTGAGGGGGCGGGGGGTCGGTCGTCGTAGTACAGCACAGTATTACACTACAGTTGTAATACAGCAGTAGTACGGTAGCAGTACAATTCTAGTACCGTAGTAGTACAGAAGTAGTACAGTCGTAGTACAGGGGCTCTCGTTCCTTGGGCCGGGCCTCTTCTGGTGCTGTTTTTTTACTTGGCAGTTTGTCTCTCTCTGCAATACTTGTGCGCTCGTAGTAATTGCATGGCTTCTAAAGCTTGCCGTACTTTCGAATCCACAGCTTTCCCAATGAAGGGCTTGGCTTCTGAAGCTTGCTTTCCTTTTGGATCCCAAGCTTTCCCAATCAAGGGTTTGGTTTCTGAAGTTTGCTTTCCTTTCCTGGCTTTTGCAGGCAAGTTTATACTTGACAGGGGGTTTATAATTCGGAAGAGCGGCTTTTGTCATTACGCCATCAGGATGGATTGGTTTTTTGCTGCCGGAATAAGGAATGAATTTTATATCGTTTTCTGAAGGAAGCATGGCTTCTGAGATCTCTAGATCTGCGGTTTCGGAGTCCCGTGGCTTGTAAAGCAAAGCTTTCTTAATCAAGGGCTTGATTTCTAAAGCATGCTGTCGCTTTGAATCCACGCAGTTCTCTCTCTGTCACGCTGGAAGGGTCGCAGTAATTACAGTTTGTGTCCCTCTGCAATACTGGAGCGGTCGTAGTAATTGCAGTTTCTCTCTCTGTGCAATACTAGAGCGGCGTCGTAGGGATTGTATATTCTCTCTTTCTCTCTGCAATACTGGAGCTGATTCCCACAAAGCTAAGCAAATCGAAATCACGTAACTCTCCAACAAAATTGAGTTTAGGGCGTCGGGTTTATAATTGAGGATGGGGTTGACAATTGAGTTCTGGGGGTCAGTTTTTATAATTGAGGGGGGGTTTTAGAATTATAAGGTCAACATAAATCTCGGAACTGCTGGCTTGCTTCTGCGGCGGAGTTGCCGTGGCAGTGTTGCTCTTCAGGTTGCGTTCATTTCTGAGCCCGGATGCGGGTGGAGAAGGGCCACCGCACGGAACTCTCTGTCTCCCGCAGGAGAGAGAAAGCTCATTGCGCATGCGGCTCATGAGAAACAGGTCAGTCAAAGAATGACGTCCGTAGTCAGAGAGTGTTTAATTGGAACTCGTCTGGGACGAGCCCAAGCCTGTTTCGTGCATGTGACAAAGATGTTCGCATGCAGCCGGAAGTGCTGATTCGGTGTTAGGCGTGGTCGAAACATGTACCATATTTTACGGGTTCTGTCACCACCAGTTTGTCCAGGGCAAGTCTGCGTCCTTTGCAACATGCCGGATTCTAGAGGAGTTTCAATCGCCTGCCCAATGGCGACCAGGTCTGCCAACGGGTGCTCAATTCAAGCTAACTGGTTTGTTGAAGCTTTTAACCAATATCTACATTGCACTTTGGTTCCTAAGTCCAGTCCTACCATCGCTTGTTGTTTGTATCATGCAATGATTCGCGGAAGGGGCCAAATCCCAGCATCACTTTGTGTAGGGCGGCAAGAAGTTTGCCTGCCGCTTCCTACGCAGGGAGCAGGTCTTTGAAAGGGCCGTTCTTCGGCCAGACTTGGGCTTCCCATCCTATGGTGTCACAGGAGGCCTGGTGTTGTCGAATGCCTGGACGGTTTCGTCAGCACCACAGGAGTGTCTGTCCATAGCTGCACGAAGCGCTCCAGGCTCCCTGCAAAGGACATTGCGTTGCTGCTGCCTAGCATCTCTTGATTGATGGAACCCTTCACGCCCATGCAAGCTCTAGAACCCTAAACCCTAAACCCATAAACCCTAAACCCTAAACCCCTAACTGCATTAGACCACGTACCCTTCACACTATGGAGCACTCCGGGGCCGAGGTGCTCTTCGACGCAGTGGTCCGAGCCAGGGTTCGCGATGCACATTACCTACTTTGTGTGTGGGTGTGGGTGTGCGTGTGTGTGTGTGTGGGGCTGGGTTGCTGGTGGGTGCATGCATGCATTCACAACGAGTGATGGTGTGCCGCTTGCACCGCTGCGTGGCAGGGCAGCGTTGGTCCTGGTGAGAGTAGATTCGTTAGCCGCTAGCCATCGTATCACACGAAAGGATTTCAATGCATTGCTGGCGTATTGCCAAGTTCAGAGCGAGCATGACTTCGTAGCCTGTCATACCTTCACATGTTCACTCCTGACTGTTTGCATCTTGCTGCCTTTGTGTGGGCCCAAGTCGCTGGAACGGCCGGTTCTGCAGCACAGGGGAAGAGGCTTTCTCTGTAGCAAACCAAGACTTCCGGAAAGTTCATGCATGCAAATTTGACTACATGAACAAGCCCATCTGAGGCATGTATCATGCATACGCACCTGCATATACAACTGCACACCAATATATGCATGAAAAATATGAGCCCGCCGTGCATACATAAAACCCCGTTCATACATGCATATTAAGATAGGTGTACGTATAAACGAACCACCAATCAAACCAACCCGCGAATCAACAAACATATACATGTATGTGTCTATAATATAATTACATTACATATTATATATATATATACATATATTACAGCACAAGTATCATCTACACAAATGTGTATAGTGTGTAAGTGCGTGTGTGCGCCTGCACGTGTGGTTGCATGCCTGCACGCACGTAGACACACAGGTACATAGGTACGTACATAGATGGATCGACAGATAGGTGCTTCACAGGTCCCTTGGCAGCCAGCAGGAACAAAAAATTCCACGTAGAGCGAGCAAATCCGTGTGCACATTGAGCATGGCATGGCTGAAGGAGGTCGGTTGCTCCTGTCGGAGCAGGTGTATCACGTCACTGGGACATGAATGGACTTGCAGAGAAGAGCGACGTGCCTTTGCTAATCGTTCTGTTCTTGATCCGAGGCATGCCTGGCTCATGCGCTGATGAGTGAAAATGAAGAGATCATGGGATTGCTTCTTGGCGACGTCGAAGGCTCTGAGGCTGGGACAAAGCACCAAAACCTTCCACGAGCATCGCACTGTAAAGCAGGTTCGGATATGGTGTTCAATGACCCTGTCCCTCGACGAGATTGGAGCTGTGAAGCGTATGTTGGACAATCCCCTGAGTAAATACAGTTGTCATCCGTTTGCACTGCCGAGGCGCCGAAGTGACAAGCAACCAGATCGAGTCGAAATCGCACCAGAGCAGCTGGTTCAGGCTCTGTAGTACCCTCGGATTTTCAATGCACTTGACGGCTTAGCGATGAAATGCGGGCCCAGATCAAAGTTTCTAGATTTTTGTCGTGCGTTTATCCGGCTGCGTTGTAGGGCTTGAGCTCCTGATCACTGCTGGTCAGTATTGAAACTGGTGGCATTAGCACAGACAGGGACAATGGGGAATGCTGAGAGCTGGGGCACTCGGGACATTGAAAGCACTGCGCATGCCACTTTAGCATTCCGACGTCAAACGGCCATCGGAATATCACAGCACCTGACTCTAAGCCTCTACGCTGAACACAACAGCCAGTCTGTCGCTACTTCCCTGCCTGCACTGCGTGTGCTCTCGTTTTTTGTTTGGAGTAGTGGTTGCAATTCTTGGAGGCAGTCCATGTGGCGGATGAGTTGAACAAGGTCGTCAGGGCAAAGTGGGTAAGCGGCGCCGCGCATCCCCATGAGCTGTGCAGGTGCTGCAGTGCCGTACCAGGGTGGTGGGCTGGTACCACTCGCATCCGCACATCACCTGCTTTCCAAGCCATGTAGATCTTCGAACTCAGCTGGAGTACCAGATTATGGATGCAGCCGCTCGGCTTTAGAAGTTCTTCAGCCCCTGGCAGATCGAAACCCATGCCCAGGACTTTGTTGGATTGATCTTTGGAGTTTTCAACTACGGAGACTCTGGTCACCTGGCTGAACTGACGCCATTATGCACCGTTCAGAGAAGTTGCACAACGTGTGAATGCAGGTGGCATCCATCATGAGCTCATCGCTTTCCGCACACACGAGGAGGGAGGACAGCATCAACAGAGCGACATGGCAAAAGATTCAGTTGAAGGCTTGGTGCAGAGAATCGGAGTTTGCCCTAATTATAGCACAAACAAGTACTAAACAATAACAAAGGAAACTTGGCTGTCGAAGTGGTCCCTCTTTGCCAGCTGCTCTCGCAGGCCCAATGTAGAATCAGTGCAACGGTGCAGGCTCTTTCAGTCTGGAGTCTTCTGCTTGCAGGAAGATGAGGCTGCAGCGGTACAGCTTCAGGAGTTCGGAGGCTTCTTCGGCTCCTGTGGCTGGTAATCTTGCTTTCACGTAGACGTAGGACTGCATAGCCCGTGTCGTGAAGTAAAGATTCAGTTTTAGAGCGCCAAGTTCAACCCCAGCATGGAAACCCTAAACCCGTCTTCCTGACCAGCCTACTTTCTGAGCAGCACTTGTCTGTGCATACGCAGTTATGATAGTTTATGCACACGCAGACTAGGCCAGAGCACCATTTGCACCGTTGCCGAGCACACTTTGGCGGAAGTCTTGGAGATGCACGATGGAGGCCGGAGCCATGCGGATGCATGCGGAGGCATCGGAAAGGAAGCGAGTTGTGTTCAGCGTTTGTTTCTCTTCGCATCGGAACCCGAAAGCGCTGCCGCCATCTCCAGCGCCAAGCTTCTGTGTTCGTTCTCGCTTCGATGGCTCCGGCTGAGGATCCCAATCCCAATGCTCGCACGATGCCCTCCGGCCTCTAGCGACAGTTGTTGCTGCTGCTTGGGCTTCCTCTTCAGGCGAGAGGCCTCTCGCTCTCGCAGCAGCGTGGCACTCTCCGCGGCCGGGGAGGAGGTCACCAGAAGAGTTTTGCAAAGAGATGCCTTGGAGTGGATGCAGGAGCTGGGGACCTCCGGCTTTCCCGAGAATTCCTGCGTGTTTACCTCCTTGCCCGACTGGTCAGAGATCAAGAAAGGTCAGAGCCTTCCACTCAACATCTACGTTGCCTGGTTTCGGCGAGCACTCAGGCTGCTCTTTCGAGCCTGCAAGAAAGAGACCATCGTGGTGTTTTACCAGACAGACATCTGTAGTAGTGGGCAGTGGCTAGACAAGGCTGCGATGATCTGCCAGGAAGCTGACATGGCAGGGGCCTCTTTGCTCTGGCACAAGATCAGCTTCGATCCAGAGGCCGTGGACATGCCGCGCCGGGGCAACAACGCGGACTACTCCCACCTTCTCTGTTTCCTGATATCCAGCGGTGCCCCGGACCCGCGTTGGGAAGCGACCGGCCGCGATGAAGGACGAGCCGTGCTGAGCGGCAAGTGCAGCATTCCCGATCTTGTGCCCAGAGGTCGAAAGGTTTATGCACAGGGTATGGGTGCCAATGTCGTGACGACCGTGCTCTCTTGGATCCGCAAGGTGAAGCCCACGACTGAAACGATCGTCGACCCCTTCTGCGGTCGTGGTACGGTTCTTGCTGTTGCGAATCAGCTTGGCTTGTCGGCCCTGGGAGTTGATGTGGACCAAGCCTGCATGAAGGCAGCACAGCGTCTCGACATGCAGAGGTTTCTGTCTTCAGAGACGCTTCAGCCGGTGAGCTTCTATCTGGCAAGGGCAGCAGCTGGCCGGGCCCGGAAGGAGCAGGCTCTGCGTGGAGAGCCCGAGCGCGGCCTGAGCTAATCTCAGAACCTCCCAGGTCCCTTTTGCCTATTCCCGGCCCCTGGCGATCGCCTGCTCTGAGACGTCCTGCGCCCGACCCGATGTTGCGTGACATCCGCAGAAATACAATACGATTTCTACAGCGTCTCTCCGATCTGGCAACTGCTTCAGGTAAGTGGTGTCTTTCATGGGTGCGGTCTTCGCCATGGCACCCGCGCGGCCGCGACTCGAAACTCCCTGCTAGGACCGCTCCAGACCCGATTCTCGACCTCCAAAGGCAGAGCGAAAAATGCGATTTTGTGGTTTTGTCAAGGGCATCAGAGACGCTTCAGTTCCGCATTGACAATTTTGGGAGTCATGATGTCAGGATGAAGGAAAAAGGACTCACTCCTGGTGCCAAACCCTGGAGCCCCTAGAGCCAAGCATGGGCCTTTTTCACTGTACTTTATTATACTATACTAACTATCCTATATCCTGTACTATACTATACTGCACTATACTATACTATATTTTGCGATACTTTACTATGCTATATCATACTTTGCTATACTGTGGCGTACTTTAAATGTAATATCTTACCTCAAATTCACCAAGCCACTTCTCTCGTGACCCTTATTATAAGGACCCCAAATAAGGTAGCCCATATTGTCGGAAACTCCCACGTCTCTCGTGGACTCTGCTGGACCTTTGAAGGCCCGGAAGGCCAGGAGCCGGAGCCCTCCGCTGCTCGGACGCGTCGGGAAGATCATGAGGTCTCTTTGACAAGGCCGGATACATACATATATATATATATATGTATATATGTATATATATATATATATATGCTACCCCCCCCCTCATGTGCCTACCTTTGGTGTGTGTTTGTGGTGCTTGTTTGTTGATTTTGTATACTCATGCATGTAGTATGCTTAAGAACTAACAGTTGCTAACAATGTCCCGTGAACACCCTCCAACACCAGATCACTACGAT